GATCCTCTTCTTCCTCGCGAGGAGTCTCCGAGTCCTTAAGATAAAGACGGCTCGCCGACATGTCTCTCATCTTCAACGCATGAACTCGTTCGGCCCGACTCTGACCTGCCCGTACCAAGGGAAGAGTGTTAGCCGGTGTGCCAAGGGTTGACTCATCATGCGCATTAGAGGCCTGGTTTCTCTCATCCAACACTAGTCTCGCAAGAGGCGCAGACCTGGAGGTGCTGCGACTATGAGCACCACTTGCTGCAGTTGATTCTGGCAGCGAAGGCAGGGGTCTCATGGGTGCTGGCAGAGGGAACGCATCGATTGTGCACATTGGCAGGGATGAAGGTCGGCGGGATCCTTTCTTCTGCGAATTATTTTCGCTCGCCACGCTTGCCAAGGGCTCCTTGTCCGATTTCCCAACATCAGAAGAAGTAGATCGTATCGGCTCAGATACCTCCTGAGCACCGCAGTCCTCTTTGACCGTGGTGCTATCGATCGGTTGGGGACATTCTTTATTTGAATCCATGCTACTTTGCTCCGGATCGGGGCTCGCAGGGAGAGGTCTGTTGAGAGCGAGCGAGCGAGCATTGGAGATGCGCCAGGCCCCTTTACTCGAATTGCGCGGGGGCATTGTGTCAGGGAAAAGCTTCAGAGACGGAGTGGTTTGGCTTGTCGATGTTGAAGAGCTTCCAGACGAGCTCGTAGCAGGCTTGTTAACTGCTTCTGGGTCGATTGCGAGACCTGAATCTGTCTTGAGACCAGACTGCAAAATGTTAGACTTGCAAGTATTTTGGACTCCCGAGAGATTACCCACCTGGTCTTTGTCTGACGCCCTTCCATCTTTTGATACATCATCCGGAGACCTTGTGTCGGGTATTTTCTCTTCACTGCTGTCGACTTGAATGCTGGGGTTCGCCGCGTCGCTGGGTTCGAGCGACTGTTTCTCCTTAGATCCGGATGTGGTGTCGGCGACAGTAACAGTAACAGCAACAGCAGGGTCCTGGCTATCGCACTGTGCGTCCACTTTGACATCCTTTGCCGGCGTGGGTGGCTGGTACGGCGGGGGATTCGCGTCATCGAAGTGCGGGGGGGTGGTTACCGCAGCCTCCACCAAAGATGTCAGCTCCCGTAGATCCAGCGCAGACAAATGATTTGTGCTAACCTCCGGTCTGTCCTTCTTTTCGAGCGGATCCGTGAGCCACGGCTGCCCAATGCTCTCTACATCCCTTCTAGAGTTCGCCATGAAACTGAGGTTGGAGATGGAACGAGAGGAAGACCGGCTCGAGTCCAGACTTTTCTTGTGGCTCGACCGCTTGGAAGGTACTCCAGCAGGAACAGGAACACTCGTCGGCAAGAAGCCTCCTTCCTGAAGGGCAAGCAATTGCCGCGCTGACTCTTCGGCCTTCGTCCTGGGGTCTGTACTCTTTTTCGGACGTTGAGCGAGTTGTCGGAGCCGTCTCTGCCCGGCCTTGAGCATCTCCCGGGCTCCTGTGGATCCGGTGATGGGGCTTTGGGATTCAATGAACTTGGCGAAATCGGTTGCGTTTTCATCTCGCAGATCGAGATGTGCGGAGGATTGTAGGGTGTCCCGGGACTGCCGAGGTTCGTGTGACAGGGTCGACATGGTGTAGGCGCTTCTGGAGGTGTTCAGGGAACTCGGCCGACCAGTGGGGACAATTGGACTCGGGGCAATTAAGCTGTCATGGGAACCGTTGCTCTGCTGCATGGGACTTGCAGCTGCTTTTCAGCTGCTGGATATGCAGGTGAATCTCCCGCCACTAGTATAGTCTGAATGGTTAATGGCAACCACGGACAGTCAACAGTTCACACTGTCCGAACGAATGAAAGTGAATCCCGCCTAGGTCAATGAACGCTTTGCGGCGGATAGAAGAGGAAGGTCAGATGAATAATGAGGACATGCAGGTAGTGCAGCAAGTCCACTATAGCCAGAGGAGGGTTGTAGATAGACGAAATAGTAAGAGCGGGAAGGAATAGTAGCAATGATGCAATTGATGAGAGACATACAGGTATATACAAAAGAATACTAAGTAGTCAAGGATTGGAATTGCCAACGCCGGAGCGAGAAGCAACCTATCCGGCGGGAAAAGAAAAAAGGCAGGTCCAGGGGAGAGGAAAGCAGGCTTTATGAAGGGTTCACACAGGAATCTCGAGGAGCTGTCAGACCCTTGCTGTTGGAGTCGGGGGGGTGTGTGCACTGCACCCTGGTAAGGTCTGACGGGCTAACGATGTCCCCTCCGTATGTGGAGTTGATGCATCGTCAAATGACGAGCCTTCCTCGTTCCCGATAGCTTGAACGATAGAGTTGGATCTAGATAGTGTAACCGGGCCCAAGACAAGGGTGGCAGGCATTCAAGGGCCCTACAAGAAAAGGTGAAAGGGGAGGAGGAGGGGAGGGGGGGGCAAAGCAAGGTTGGTGGAGTCATTATTGGTTGAAACACCAAGGGAGAGGGGGTGAAAGGGAAGGGAAAGGCAGAGCTCTGAGCGCGAGAGGATGATACTGTGAAGCAGGAAAAAGAGAGAAAAGAGGAGAAAAAGAAAATGGAACAAAAAAGGAAAATCAAAAAATATAATTTTTTTCTTATTTTAAAAAGGAATAATAATAAAGAAAAGGAAATAAAAAAAATAAAAGTAAAAATAAAGAATTCTTGTTAAGGAAAATATGACGAGCAGGATCCAAAAGGACCAGAAAAAGAAAGAAACGTTAGAGAGCAGCGATCGAGTCCGTGCCAGGCGCACTCGATCGGGGGAAGGAGGCCGATGATGGCGTCGAGTGACAAGAAGAAAGAAGCCCAGCAAGCGACTATTTGCTCGGCTGAGGAGGTCTCCTCCTGTCAAGTCGATGATAGTCAAGAGTCTGTCCGCCGCGCATCGCAGGGCGCGCATCGCGGATTTTCGTCATCCATGCTCCTGGGATCGTCCAGGCTGCACTTCGTTAGCCCGAGTCACTAGCCTCGAGAAGAGCTGCTTTAGTTGCATTTAGCTACTTTAGCTCGTTGGTCCAGTTGGATAGATACTAGATACTTAGAGAGCCACCCAGTCAGTTTGAGGATTTCCTGTTGGCCAGCTGCACGGAACCGGGGGCTGCATCGAGTCAGTAAAAGCTGATCCCTGTCAGACCAACAAATTGAATCATTCAATTTTCTTTGGGACTTGGTGGAGTCTTCGGGATTCTCTGGCGGACTGGCCGTGTATAGGAGAGAGTAAGAGTGAGTGATTGAGTGAGTGAGCAATCCAGCGCGGGCTGTCGGATCGGCATTCAGCTTCCAGTCTCGTGTGACGTTGAAACTTGTCGCCGACTCCTATCTTCAGCGGTTGCCAGCCAGTTATTCCTGCGAACCGTTACAAGTAAGGGATATATGATGGGGATTAGTGGAGGGGGTGAAGAGGACTGAGAGGGGGGCGGATGAGGGGGGGAAAGAGAAGGTCCTAGCTCTCTCACTCACTCTCACTCTCCGCCTCCTCCTTGGAGGAAGCAAAGAGGGAAAAAGAGGGGGAGAAGGAGTAGCAGGAGAAGGAGGTCCTTGTCCCGAAAGGCAGTTAACGGTTTGGCGAGAACAATCCCGAGAGCAAAGAGAGGGATGAGAATGTGAGCTATCATCTGTGGATCATCGGCAACCGTAAGGCATGGACCAAATTTAGGGAGTCAAATGGAAGAAGAAATGTGACAGATGCACAGACAAGATAGCAAAGAAGTGGGGATTGGCAAGTCAAAAAGTTCATGCCGAACAAACCAACACTCTTAGTTCTCACTAGTCACTTTTAGCACATTCAACACTCGATACTAGTCAAGGTAGTATGTAGTAAGTAGCAATCAATCTATCTATTCTGTTTGTTCTAAATCTCTCTCGCTCTCCCTCTTTCTATCTATCTATCATCTACTTAGTTATGTGTCCATCCCGTTTCTAAACTAAAACTTCTCGGGATCTATAGTATAGAAAGAAGGTTACACATCACATCGGGAACATGGCTTGGAAATGGGATTCTGGATTCTTCATCCACCACCACCACCTCCCAAATACTAATGATAGAAAAATATCGGGTCTCCACCAACGCTCTTGCGATCATCGCTCCTCCATCATCTAGTCACTTCCTCAGACTGTACAGAGTCGCGTAGGACAACATGAACGCCCTTGCCGGTCAATCCCAGCAATTTGGGTCGATCATTACGAGGGAATTCCCCCGGAGAGATTCTTATTACTGTCGGGCAGTGAGGCACCACAGATCAATAAATCGAAAGTAACGGTGTAAATCACCACCACAAAACTGAACCTTCTCTCTCTCTCTCTCTCTTTCTTCTCCCCTTCCTGCCCAGAGAAATAATAGAGGTAACTATACCTAGCCAGATAGTAGCTAATTGGCTGGCTCGGGAATCAATCACCGAAGGAATGAAGCAATCAATCAATCAATCAATGAATCGATGTCTCCGGGATTCACTACGAAGTACCTCCCCCACGCAAGTAGCTAAGTAACCAATTGGGACGGTGATTGGAAGTTTAAAAGTAGTTCTTTCTCACCCAACTCCCGATGAATGAAATAGTGTTCACGACTATCGATGGCAAAGACGAGCTGCCAAACAAAGAATGAGAGCCGCCGGAATAAGCACCACCAAGCACTGGTTTCTTTTCCATCTGACCCTGGCATCCTCCTTCCCCTCTTCCCACCCCCCTAAATCTTCCTCAATTCCCCTCTCTCTTCTTCTTCTCCTTTCCAGCCAAGAAGTGGACCGCGCAGCGATGGTTCGTGTTTAGGGACTTTGACGGACGGCATGTTTGCTTTCTGGGCTGGATCCACATCCTTCCTCCATGCCCCGACTAGCTGTAGAAGCAGACGCAGACGAGACGCAGATGCAGACAAAGGAAATGCCGTGGGGGGAAAAGGGAAGCTGAAGAGTTGGAGAAGAACTCAGGCAAGCAAACCGGCAGATGGGAAAGAAAAAGACGGACCGGGAGACTGCATGAGGACCAAAGTGGAAAAGGAACTGAAGAGAAGATCCAAACTAGTGGCTCTCCCTTGCAGCAGATAGTTCATGCAACGCTCGTCCTCCAGGAACCACTCGTCCTTCAATCGCGACCCTCACGATGACCTGCTGAACGACACCGTCCGTGGGTTGTCCGAGAGAAAATTCTCCGATCGCACAGCCGCAAGGTGGACACCTGCATGCTGCTGCTGCTGCCTTCCATGTTGCATCCACTGGACTCTCACACATCATGGCATACTTGCTCTACTTGGTCTAGCCGTAGTTGGTAGTGATAGTGTGAGGATGGTAGGAGATGGCTACACAGCAAGCTACAATACTTAGAAAGCTGCATGTCTGTTCATCCCGCCAGACGAGAGCCGATCCTGGTGGTGGCCCACCTGCTAGACAACTCACACGACCCAGTCCTTCTTATCCCGTCCCAGCTCGGCTCTGACAGACAAGTTGAAGGAACTGATCTACGGACTGACAACTGGATATTCGACTGGTCCCCAGATGCGTGCCGCGTCCCTGGGGATCCCTTCCGACCCGTCGTAAATGTCTACAAGATAGGGAAAGATTCAGAGTCGCAATCGCAACCGAAGGCTCCATCCTTCCAGTCGGCTTACGAGTGATTCGTCGTCATCGCTCTAGGGTGCCTTGATGCTGGCCCGAGAAAGAGAGAGCAGGAACCCCCCTGAAGACAGGGCATCGGATCAAATTCCAATTCATGTTCCACAGTCTTCCACTCACAGCCATGCAAGATGACATTCCTCGAAGGTGACAAAATAAAAGCAGAAGGATGGCGGTCCGGTTTTCTCCGATCAGCCTGATCGTCGTCAAGGGCACCTGCAACTGTTGCCTGTCAGCTCACATTGATACGTGCTCCTACCCTTGACAAGCAAATAGTCCATGTCCATCATGGGGCATAGGCCTCCCATCTGCCAAAGACCATCTTCAACATGAACCTCATCTATCCTGAAAGGGGTAAGAAGCAGGAAAGAAACTGCCAAAGCCGGGGGCCATTCACATCTAAGGGTATGTTTGGACAAGCACACTCTGCCAGCTTTCCTGCCATCGCTTGTCCTCTGCCGAAAGAAAAATAAAAAGACAGAGTAGAGAACATAGTTTAACAAACCCCAAGTCGAAACAAAAACGCCACTGAAACTCTGGCCTTCTTCGAGACATTCCAGAATTCCATATGCTCACGAGCCTTCGAACCTTAAACCATAAGGAGGAGAAAAAAGTGTACATGATGAAAGCGCGACATCCAAGCAAGACGGCCCGAATGCATATACAGGAAACAAAATGGGGAAAGGACATCAAGAATCCGCCATGCTCGCTCATATGCATGCAAGTAAAGAACCAACATGTCATACTGTCGGTCATTAGACCCATGGAGTGTGTGATAGGTCTTCCAAAGAAAAAGAAAAGAAGAGAAGAGAAATGAAAAGAAAAGTATAGCGAGGATGGATATGCCAAACTGCCATAGGGCATCGCATTATCTATCTCCGCTTTGGTCTAATGAATGGATCGGCTTCCTTCTTTTTCCGCATCGGGGGAGGTCGAGCGCCATTCCCGGGTCTTGGTGGTCCAGAACGTGGGGGTGCCTACATGCAAAATCAAATCAGTAAATAGTGTGTCATATGCTCACATGGAGACCAAACATACGTTGGCGGGCCCCGGACCTGGTTGAGGACCGTTGATGGCTTTGCCTTTGTCAAGAGGGGCATACGCTGGGCCATCCCGGGATGGTCTTACCAATCCCTACAGAATCAGTTAGTGGTTATCGCAAGCATGCGTACAAGTCACTCATACCTCTGTATTAGATGGAATGTTAGCATCAATTTTGCTGCGTCGCGGACCCTTGGGAGCCTCGGGTGGAGGAGCGTTTGCTTTATCAGTCCGCGGCCGCGAGGCCTTCGATGCATTTGTCGGTGGTGAGTCGTTACGTTTCCTCTTTGCCGGGCCACTGCTATCATCACTCGGAGTAGCTTGGACAACAGGCACCTTGGGATCATGGCCTCCAAGTTGCCTAAGTCGTTGACGCTCCGTTCTTTGCTTCTGGTTCTGTACGTGATAGGACTCCTCCCGCGCAATTTTGGATCTCTCATGTTTTGGTAGGGTCTTAGTGGATCGGCACTCGCGTGAGACATGTCCAAACTGTCCGCATTCCACACATCGCGGAGCAGTACAATGGAACCGTGTGTGCCCAGTTTCCCCACATCTGTGGCAGGTCCCCCTGGTTGCCTCTTTTGCGTCAATATTGTCGCAGTTATGTGTCATGTGAGCGAAACTTCCACAATATCCGCACGTGCGGGTCTCATCCAGGCCATTTCCGCCGCCAGACGGGCCATCGGGAGGCACCGGAGGAGTTTCTTGTTCGGAAACAGACACTGATGGAGAGTTACGCGTAGATGCTGACGAAGGTCGTGAGACAGATACAGCCGATGCAGCCCCCGATTGCACCACTGGAGCCTCAGACTGTGCATCCAGCATGTCGACATTCTGGTACCCAGTGAACTGTGGCCGCTGAAGGATCTTGAGTACATCACCATCCGTATATACATTCCTTCGGCGTGCGTCTTTGATCAAACCATTCCAGAACTCGCCTTGAACGAGAGCCTGAGAGTTTCCCAGAACCCAAAGAGACGACTTGGCACGTGTGAGACCGACGTTCATACGACGAATGTCAGCCAAGAAACCTATGCCTTTATTGGAGGCTCGCACGCAAGAAAAGATAATAACTTCACTTTCCCTACCCTGGAAAGCATCCGTGGTGTTGAAATCAATCTTGTTGAAGATCTCGTTGCCATACCTGGCAGCGAACTGTGTCTTGAGCTCTCTCAATTGGCCCTTGTATGGCGTAATGATACCAATCTTTCGATCGAAATTAAAGGCACGGAAATCTGTCACCAAACGTTCATACAGCTGCATAGCCACCCTAAGTTCTGCTATGTTGATCAACGAGTGTCCCTTCGCAGCACTTTGGTGAAGTCCTTGCACGTCGAAAAATCGGTAAGGGCTGAGAAGTTCACTTTGATGCCAAGGCCGAACGCGAAGTTGAGCCATATTAGGACCATCTTGTAGTCGGCCGTCGTAGAACGCAGAACTAGGGAATGCACTGATTTCTGGATGCATACGGTATTGGATATCCAGCAAGTGCACATCCCTCGGATGGTTGGCTTGCATTCTGACGAACAGACTTTGCTCGTATTGAAACTTCGAAGCGACCTTTGACAAAACAGTTGGCGGTAATTGCTTGGGATCACCGACGAGGATACATTTAGAACACCCGTACTTCAAAGGAATCAACGCACTTAATTCAATCGACTGTGCGGCTTCATCAATCACAACAGTTTCGAACTCGATGCTGAGATTTTGGAACATTTCATGACCACTTCCGCTCAGCGTAGCACATATAACATGAGCGCCGTCGATGATCTCCTGCTGGATGCGTCGCCTAGTTAGTTCTGCGTCTCGGGCTGCGGAGTGGTTCTTGTCCCTGGCGCTATCAATCTCCTGGCTCAGTTGTGTCTTTTTCTTTTTTAGCAGGTCAAATTCTCGCTCCAACTCTGCGGGGACGGGCAACCCTTGTGCTCGGCACTGATCCATCCGAGCCCGAGTC